GGTTTTGGGCAAGCCTCAAGCAAACTATCCAGGAATAGCAGATGGCAAACATATTGACTTAAGTGCACCAATGCAAATGCAATGCAAAGAACAGTTGTCATAAAATATCTGTAAAACACACCTGTGGCCGGTAGGCCACAAGAGGTCGCAGGCTTGAAAAAAATCTAGTTTTGGTCCAAAAAACAAGGCAACAAGTGTGTAGGGTTTGAAGGCTCAAACCTGTGGTATTCTGCTGAGCACTTTTGAGCACTTGACAAGCATATACATTCATCATTGGGTGTGCAAGTGATGGTGCCCAAGTCGTAAGGGTAGTCAAAAATGGGGTGTCTACACAACCTAAACCCTAGATGAAGGATTACTAATAAGATGAAGATTATGGATCAAGTCATGAACCAAATATGCACACCTAGGATGGTGATACTTGGCCCATAGAACAGTCTTAATCTTAATCACCTCCAGTAAGGAATCAAACTAAGGTTGAGCCCCATGAAATTTACATTCGTTTCTACACCTCCAAATGGCCCAAAAGATAACCAAAGGTAATGATTTCCATATCAAACTTACAAACTTCATGAATCGAAATCCAAACCACCAACTGAAATGATCCTTGATTGACCTAAGTATCACCCATTGCAAACCCTACCAATCCACCAAAATAGACAAAACTTTCCAAATCATAGGGTAGAATAATAGCACATGATCAGTTGTTTCATCCTAAGAGTTATGAAAAATGCAGGAAACACTAACATTCACACTCAAAATACCAATTCTTTGCAAATATGCAGCCATTTTAATCCTACCCGTTGGAAATTGGATCACCACTACAAGAAATTGCACTTTTGGCGACTACTTTTGGCGACGACGTCAATTTTTCATCGCTAAAAGTATATTTTTGGCGACACAGTGATCAATTTCGTTGGTAAAAGTATACCTTTACCGACGCAATTTGTTGTCGTCGCTAAAAAGGCATAACATTATTTTAGCGCCAAATTTTTTGGTTGGCGCCAAAATTTCAAAACTTTTACCTACGAGGCTTATGTTTTAGCAACACAATGAGCGTTGCTATTAGTGTGCTTACTTTTGGCGACGACAAGTTGGTGTGGGCAAAGAGTTAACCATTTAGCAACGATGACACTATTCGTTGGTAAAAGTTTTGCCAGTGGAATGATGTGATTTAGTGATTTGTGTTTTTTATTATAACTTTTGAAAGAGTTTTAAATATTTTAGTTACTGAATTGTAAAATTAAAATAATCATTAAATTAGATCACAAAATGAACCCATTGAGCCCAAACACACTCTTAAGTTGATATGACTACTTTGAGATAATTAGACTTTTTCAAAAGAATAGTAGATAACTCAATTTCTATAGTATGTTGTTTTTATTTTTCACAACTAGTCTTTTCAAATTTTTTTTTCGCCAAACAAACCTAAAAAAAAATTTGGTGAAAAAAAAATAACTTATTATTTTTGGTAATATTTTTATCCCCTTTTAGGTCATAAATACTTTTTAAAATTTTAAAATATAATTTTGATTTTTATTGCTTTCAAATTATTTTTAATTTTTTCAAAAAAAACAAATCTAATTTTTTTTTGTTTTTTTTTAATTTTTTAGGTCATAAATACTTTTTAAAATTTAAAAATATAATTTTGATTTTTATTGCTCTGAAATTATTTTTAATTTTTTTTTAAAAAAACAAATCTAAAAATTGTTTTGAATATTTTATTTTATTTATTTTTTTGGGATAGAGCAGGTAAAGATCAAGGGATCGGTGACATTTCCCTCTTAAAATTCCCTCCTTTTTTTCCCCTCATCAAATCTCCCCAAATCAATCACCACGATTTCACTCGTTCACATCCTTATCTCAGAATTCGTAGTTCTCTCCCTCACGATTTCATTCTTGATCGTAGGGTTTGTGCCGTTTGCTGCTGCCGTGCGAGATCGGTGCTTCAGTCTCCCATTACAGGTTTGTTCCCTTTTGCTTTGTATCTCAATGCCCTTGCTTCTCTCTCTCAATTTCTTAAATGAATCTATGTTTGTCTATTTTCACTTCTTCTATTATTTTGATTTTGGGGTTCTCTGAAGGATGCTTTTTCTAAACAAATTCCATGCTTGAGTTGGGGAAGATGGGGCCTTTACGGGTTGTCCAGTACAATATCATTTTGAAATGCAAAACTAAAAGGATATGAAATTTTAACGAACACCTAACCTGAATCCACATCAAACGTTTAGGTTAGAACATGGATTTGCCTCTGTATGAGAGGATGCCTGTGCCCATTCACCAGGAATTTATTCATCTTCTCAGTGGGCCTCTTACTTCAAATATTAATAAGAACCCACAGTGACTATTTATGTAAGGTAATAAAATAAGAACACTTCTACTGGTGCATATGAATAAGAGAGGATTTAAAATCCGTTCCATCTTAAACCCAATACAAGTCACCAATTCTGAGCCTGTTAGTGCCCCTACTATGAGTGTTGACATTTCATCCTTGCCCCCAGGGCATAGAGGTGGCTTATTTGTCATACCTTAACTAACCCACTTCCATGCTGAAGCTTACTGGGATTCTCTTTCATGTAGCCTTGCTCACTAAAGCACCTATTCAGGAGTTGAAATTCTGTCTCACAAAGGAAATGGTCTATTGCATCCAGTATAAGAACACTCTGGAGACAATGTAATGTTAGAAATAGAGGATGCAGTAAGATATTATACCATAAAGCTTAAGGGCCAACTTCTGATTTTTTACGTGTTTGAATGTGAATATAAAAGCATAAATACATTGTAGTAATTGAAAGCACATGCTTTAGTAGTTAAAATTTGCAACCAACTTAATTTAAAATTTGAGAACACATGCTTTAGTAGTTGTATATAAAAAGGCTGTTTGGTTTCCACTTATTTGCAACTTATTTTGTTTAAATTTTGAAAACACATGTGTCAGTAGTTGTACCTAAAATTGTAGGGTGTTTGGTTCCACTTATTTTGTTTTCAGCTTATTTTCCTTTTCAACTCAAAAAAAGTTTAAATAGCTTAGTTTTTTAAGTTGGGTTTTAGATGGTTTTTTAAGCTAAGAGAGTGTTTGGGTGTACTACAAAAGTGCACTTTTTATTTTTGATCTTTTTATCTTGGCCGAATTATACTAACGCTCCCTATAGTTTGAGGTTTGTGTCACTTTGGTTCCCGACTTTTAAATTGGTTCATTAATAGAAAATTTAGAGGCAGTGGCTGGATGTAATTTGTGGTAGGGCTTTTTAGGAGAGCTGAAAATCCCTTTTAGATGAACATAGAAGTTTCATCAAAGAGGGGGTATTGATTGGTGTAGTGGTAAATGCTTGAGTTCCCGTGTATGAAAATATGGGTTAGAATTATAAATGTAGTCCCTTCCCACAAATATTACAGAGGTTAGGCCTGTAGCCACCCTTAGTCCTTCCCTATGCCCTTACTTGCCTGATAACCACCTTTGGAGGAAAGACAAGAAGTTTGACCTTAGTCCTTCCCTATGCCCTTAATTTGTAGGAGCCCATTAGGTAATGTCCTTTAAGAAAGATATTGGAATGAATTGGAATGGTACATTGCCATGCCAACTGCCTTTTACCATTTAACAGACATTAAAAATATATATATTTTCTTGTTTTCTTGTTGATAAATGTAAAAAGCACTTAACTTAATACATAATATATGCAGATATAATAGAATTTTAAAGGATTTGTTGGTCGAAACCTTGATACAAAATTAAAAAAGCCTATAGGTAGATGCACCTTTATTGACGATGATGTGTCACTCTACACTTATATTAACTACTTTGTCTTCATGTTTAAAGAATAAATAAATAAATAATAATAATAATAAATTAAAGGTTGTGTCCTATTAGTATTAACTACTATTTTATGATTAGATATGGACAAGAGTTGGATGTTAATTTCTGATAGATTCAGTCAGCCATATGTAGATGGGGTGAACTCATTTATTGAATTTGCAAAGGTTCATTTGGGTGAGGCTAGAGAGATTAAGTGCCCATGCATCAATTGTTGTAACTTTTATAAGCAGGAGTATGATAGTGTGAAGGCTCATTTGCTCATAAGTGGGATGATAGTATCATACACCACTTGGTTAGAACACGGTGAACTTCCAGAACACAATAACCTTGATGAAAGAAATGGTGAGAATGACGAGGATGAAAATGAATATGATGAACTGATAGAGGACTATCAGAGGGGGAATTTTATGGAGGGTGATACTCTAGAAAGAGAGGATGTACGACATTTTGACAAATTGTTAGATGCTTCCCAATGTTGCTTGTACCCAGGTTGCAAAAACTCGGATACTTTGTTATCATTCGTTATTCAGATGCTACATGTGAAAGTAGAAAATAGGTGGAGTAATAAGTCTTTTGACAAGGTTTTGGAGATACAAAGGCGATTCTATCATACACCACTTGGTTAGAACACGGTGAACTTCCAGAACACAATAACCTTGATGAAAGCAATGGTGAGAATGATGAGGATGAAGATGAATATGATGAACTGATAGAGGACTATCAGAGGGGGAATTTTATGGAGGGTGATACTCTAGAAAGAGAGGATGTACGACATTTTGATAAATTGCTAGATGCTTCCCAATGTTGCTTGTACCCAGGTTGCAAAAACTCAGATACTTTGTTATCATTCGTTATTCAGATGCTACATGTGAAGGTAGAAAATAGGTGGAGTAATAAGTCTTTTGATAAGGTTTTGGAGATACAAAGGCGATTCTTACCAGAAGGCCACGTGGTGCCAGGGTCAATTTACGAGTGCAAGAAGTTGCTACGTGACTTGGGCTTGGGGTACGAGCTCATCGATGCATGTAAACATGATTGTATACTATTCTGGAAGGAGAATGCTCACTTGGAAAAATGTCCCACATGTCAAGCATCTAGGTACAGAGTAAATGATAGCAAGGGTAAGAAGATCCCTCACAAGATATTGCGTTAGTTCCCATTGACACCTAGGTTGAGAAGATTGTACATGTCTAGGAAGACGGCAAAAGACATGAGATGGCATAGTGATAAGCGTGTGGATGATGGTGTAGGGAGGCATCCGGCTGATTGTAAAGAGTGGAAGGAATTTGATTTGCATTATCCAGAGTTTGCCCAGGAGACTTGCAATGTTAGGTTGGGCCTAGCCACCGATGGGTTCAACCCTTTTGGGAACATGAGCACTTCCTATAGCATGTGGCCTGCCATACTCATGCCCTATAACCTCCCACCTTGGAGATGTATGAAGGCCCCATTTTTCATGATGTCCTTACTTATTCCTGGACCTAATCAACCAGGGACTGATATTGATGTCTACCTAAGGCCATTGATTGATGAGTTGAAGGAGTTATGGGAGAATGGCGTGATGACTTACGATGCCTCCACTGAACAGACCTTCCGGATGCATGCAGCTGTAATGTGGACCATAAATGACTTCCCTGCATATGGTGACTTATCCGGATGGAGAACTAAACGTTATTTGTCTTGCCCTCCTTGTAATGATAATCCATTGTCACGCGGGTTGATCAGTAAGATTGGGTGGGTGGGTCATCGAGCTTACTTGCCTGATAACCACCTTTGGAGGAAAGACAAGAAGTTTGATGGTTTAACTGAGCTTAGAAAGAAATCCTTGGATTTACCGGTGGAAAAAGTAATGGCTCAATTGGATCAATTGCGGGAAGTCAAGTTTGGAAAGGATCCTACCAACAAGAAAAGACCACGAGAGTCTGAAGAATTGAATTGGACAAAGAAAAGCATAATGTGGGAGCTACCGTATTGGAAGAAATTAAACCTCCGACACAATCTTGATGTCATGCACATTGAGAAGAATATTTGTGAAAACTTTTACGGGACGATGTTGGCCATAGATGGGAAAAACAAGGACACGTACAAAGCACGTGATGATTTGCAAGAAATGGGCATAAGGCAAGAATTGCATCTACAGAGGAAAGATAACGGATCCGTTGTAAAGCCTCGGGCAGCCTACACATTGGATTCTCGACAAATAGATGGTTTTTGTGAATTCTTGAAGTCGATTAGTTATCCAGATGGCTATGCAGCAAACATCTCAAGATGTGTGACTTCTAAAAATGGAAGATTATCAGGCATGAAAAGCCATGATTGTCATGTCCTGCTTCAGCGACTTCTACCAATTGGCATGCGTGGTTTTGTGAACAAGGAGATCTGTACAACACTATTTGAGTTGGGCAACTTCTTCCAAGAACTGTGCTCAAAAACATTAAGGCAAACTGATTTGGAAAAAATGGAAGAACGAATTGTGCTCATACTTTGCAAGTTGGAGAAAAATTTTCCTCCAGCTTTCTTTGATGTGATGGTCCATTTGGCTGTTCACTTGCCCCGTGAGGCCATGTTTGCTGGACCGGTGCAATATCGATGGATGTACCCGATTGAAAGGTAATCATTATGAACATATGGCTATTTATTAATTTGTTATAACTAAACTATTGTACAAAAATCCACCCATAAAAGACTAATGTTTAAGAAGTAATTTTCTTGCATCAAGAAGCATAATTTTCATTGTCAATTTTTGTTGAAGGTTTCTCGGGACTTTGAAAGGGTATATCAGTAATAGAGCACGTCCAGAAGGTTCTATCGCTGAGGCTTACATTGTCTAAGAGTGTCTTACTTTTTGTTCAATGTAGTTAAAAGGGATTGATAAACCTGAACAAAATGATGATGGTGGTGAACGTGGTCCCGCGATGGAGGTCTTTACCCAAAATGCTCGTCTATTCTCACCTATCACAAGGACTCTTGACCCTTCGTAAAATGAACGAGAAATGGCTCACTGGTTTGTGTTGTACAATAACTCTGAGGTGGAGCCATATATTGAGTATGTATTTAAATTTAATTACATTTATGCATAATCGTTCCATTTTGTTTCGAACTCTCTAAGTTAATTACGTGTATCACACGTCCTTCGGTAGGGTGCAGAAGAATATTTTACATAATCTACAAGGACGTGACATAACTTGGGTACAACGAGAAGAATTTCTAAAATGGTTCGAAAATCGTGTAAGATATACTAAAGAAAATAAATGAATACAATTGTTGTAACTTTCAATTCACATTAACTTAGTACACTTGTTATATGGTGTTTTATGTAGATGAATGATTTGCGAACGAAAGGGTCACCTAAAGCAACTGACGAATTGTGGTCATTAGCAAATGGTCCTGGATCAGTAATAGACTTTTATTCTGGGTGCATCTACAATGGAATTCGATTCCATACTAGAAACTGTGAAAATCGTCGTACCTGCCAAAATAGTGGGTTGGTCATAGAAGGGGACCATAATGGGAACCAAATTAATTTTTACGGCTACTTGTGCAAAATATGGGAATTGAAATACTTGCATGGGGGTACAGTGGTTTTGTTCCAATGTGAATGGTATGACACCGGTCACAAGAATAGAATATACTCCGATGAACATGTCACAAGTATTGATGTTACAAGACTTTGGTATAAAGATGACCAATTTATTCTACCTAGTCAAGTAAGACAAGTATTCTATGTCAATGATACTAGCAAAGGCAAAAATTGGAGAGTCGTTGAACGCTAGTCAAGTAAGACAAGTATTCTATGTCAATGATACCAGCAAAGGCAAAAATTGGAGAGTTCTTGAACGTGTTAAGCATCGGGGAGTATAGGATATACCAGAGCGGGATGATGTCTCTAATGATGCTTTTCAACAGGATGAAACCACTGATGGTGTTGGGGTAGTGATCCAAGATAATGATGTTCAATACAGCAGGGGTGATATGGATCCTGAGATCATTTTCAATGATCAACTAATGGCAGAGAATTTAGTTCACAATGATGACGAGGACAACACAATCATAGAGTATAATGATGATGAAGATGATGAACTGCATAGACAACCTGATGTTGATGTAGATCCTGATATAGATCTTGATATAGATTATGATATGTAGTGTTTAATTTTTAATTATATGGACAAGTGTTATAATTTAATAATAAATTGCTTGGTTTACATTGCATGGCATTGTTTTTCAAATTTCATAGCATTGTTTCTCTATTTCATTTCATTTAATTATATGCCATATCTACAGTTACAAAGATGTCCAGAAACGGTAAATCATTTCTTAAGCCCGGCGGCTTAGTCCAGAAGATGACGAAATATGAGAAGGATAGGAAAAAAACAATCCAGAAAAATAAAATCAGAATGGGATATACCAGAGACATCATC